TTCCTTCCTTCCTTCCTTCCTTCCTTCCTTCCTTCCTTCCTTCCTTCTTCTCAAAAGAATTTGAGAAAACTTATGATTGAGGATGTGTACAATGAGTTTCATGAAATACAAATATAAAATTAAGCCCATCAGTTTTAATGGAACTGTTGTCATTAAGCATCAGATTTAGCTCTAAGCTTCCTGGCAGCCAAGACAAAAACGGCGATAAGATGAATCAGTCTCTTCCTTTGATATCAGAGGAAAGGGCATCTTCCAATTTTCCTGACAGAAAAATCCAATAATTTCTCATGCTGAGGAAACTTCTCCACTGGAGTCATATACTGATAATATTCTCTATAAATTTGACAACAATGGAGATTGAGTTTCACATGGTGATTTCTTATCACAACCTTTGATGAAAGCTCAGGCCATATTGTTACAAGACAGCTCTGGGAGGATACTTCTGCAAGATATGTGACTTCTCGTATTTGCTCTTCTCAATGATTCTACATCAGAGCAGGTAAGACCATTACCCTGTTTTACAGATAAGAAAACTAGGAAACAGAAAGGGGAAGAGCCAGATCAGATAGCTGGTGGGGAACCAGTTTTGTAAGCCAGTTTTGTAGACTCTAGGGCCCTATTCTAAGTGTCCGTCTCTGGACCTGCCAACACCACCGCACACAAAATTATACATTGAGGGGTGCCTGGGTAGCTCAGTTGGTTAAGCATCCAACTTTGGCTTAGGTCATGATCTTTCGGTTTGTGAGTTTGAACCCCAAATCAGGATCTGCACTGGTGGTGCAGAGCCTGTTTGGGATTCTCGTTCTCTCTCCCTCTCTCTCTCTGTCCCTCCGCCCAACTCTCTCTCAAGATAAATAAGTAAACTTAAAAAATTATAGGTTGATTATCAAAGAAAAGCACAAGAATCATTGCCCCAGAATATGCCTGTGTTAACCAAGACAAAGCAGTCAGATCTGGTAAACATTAGAGGGACCTCTGAGCCTGCTGAGATGGGCTGCTCCTGACTGCATGAGAAAATAGGGATGGGCACCATGAGGGCAGAAAGGGAATCCCAAATTTGGAGCCTGAATGGAACATGTGGGGCTTCAAGGATGGAAGGAAAAATAATATTAAAAGCAGCTGTCCCAGGGCAGTTGATAGCTATAAAAGGAGAGAAAAAAAAAAACTCTCTTTCTGTCTCATTTCTTACACCTATTATGCACCAGGTACATACTGGGGATCCAAGTGACAATGAGGGAACTAGCCTAGTGGCTGAAAGTCACTTTCTGTTTCATTCTCAAAATAACCCTACAAAGTAGGTATGCTTATCAGTATGATTATGCCATGTTATAGATGAAGAAACTGAGGCTCAGAGCCATGAAATGATTTGTCCAAGATCCCACAGCTGGTAAGGGTTACAGAGTTTGAACCCTGGTCTGTCTGACCCCAAACTTTTATTAATGTGCCATCACTGTTTCAATGGTAGGAGAGAAAAATGTTGATGGATGTGACATTTAAATCTTCTCTATTTCTTTGTTATTTTTTATCTTTTCTTAAAAATTTTATTTATTTATTTTTGAAAGAGAGGGCATGCACGTGGGGGAGGGACAGAGAGAGAGGGAGAAAGAGAATCCCAAACAGGCTCTGCACTGACAGTGCAGACCCCTACGTGGGACTCGATCCCACAAACCATGAGATCATGACCTGAGCCAAAATCAAGAGTCAGACACTTAACTGACGGAGCCACCTAGGCACCTGTTTGTTATTTTTTAAATAAAATTTTAAAATTTGACCACCAAGTTGGTACATACCAACCGTCTCCTGGCATACTTTTTTTAAAAAGTGACTTTTTAATTATAAAGTTAATATTACTCAGGGCACCTGGGTGTCTCAGTCGGTTGAGTGTCTGACTTTTGATTTCGGGTCATTATCTCACAGTTTATGAGTTTGAGCCCCCACACTGGCAGCATGGAGCCTGCTTGAGATTCTCTCTCTCTCTCTCTCTCTCTCTCTCTCTCTCTCTCTCTGCCCCTCCCCCCCAAAATAAATAAACTTAAAAAAAATAAAGTTAATATTACTCAACAAAGTTTGGAGAATATAGACATGTAGAGAGAAGTAAAAGAAACAAAACAAAATCAGATGATTTTTTGACCATTGTTAACATTTATGGTGTTCCTCTCCACTCTGCTATGAATAACATACATTTTGCATTTTACACTGAAGTTCCCAAACTGCATACCTGTTTAACATTACAAGCATTTTCATCCTTTTATTTTATTTTTTTAAGTAGGCTCCATGCCCAACATAGGGGTTGAACTCACAACCGTAAGATCAAGAGGTGCATTCTCTGCTGACCAAGCCAGCCAGGTGCCTCTGTCCTTTTATTAAGTAGGTTGCATTACCATCGATTTAAGAACTGTGAAATATTACATCCCATAGGCATACCTTATGTTTTTTAACTGTTCCGTTCTTGGTGATTTCTTCTAAATTTTGCTGTTGGAAAATATTTCTTCAAGTATCTTGGAGCATATAGCTTTGTCCTAATTTAGGACTATTTCCCTGAAATTAATTCCCAGAAGAGAAAAGCCTGGGTCAAAAGGCCTGGACGTTACTGAAGCCTTTGATGCATATTGCCAAACGGCTTTCTGAAAGTTTTAGCAAGTCATTTTCCCACCAGAAATACAGAAGTATCCATTGCTCACACTGACAATTTCAGTGTCACTAGTTTTTTAAACTTCAGAATTGAAAGGCTATTAATGGCCTTTTAGTTTGCACTGCTTTGATTACTTGTGAGGTAGAAAATGTCCCATGTTTATTGTGTTTTATCTGTCTCCACTGACCAGTTATTGGGTCTGTTTGTTATCAATGTTCAGTGTTCTTCACATAATAGAAAATATTAACCCATTGTCTATAAAACATTTCCTCAGTCTGAAGTTTGCCTTTTAATGCTGGGTATGATTTTGGAGTAGGGTAAGGTTTTGTTTGTTTGTTTCCAGCAATAGAAGTTAAAGAATGTTTTTTGGGGGGGTGCCTGTGTAACTCGGTTGGTTAAGCCTCTGGCTCTTGATTTCGGCTCAGATTATGATCTCACAGTTCGTGGACAGAGCCCCGCATTTGGCTCTGTACTGATGCACGGAGACTGCTTGGGATTCTCTCTCTTCCCTTTCCCCGCTCACATGCTTGTGTTCACTCTCTCTCTCAAAATAAGTAAATAAACATTAAAAAAAAGAAAACACTCTTTTAAAAAAAAAGAATGTTTTTCTGTTTTGCACATAACCTTGTCCATCTTTTCCATAGGAATTCTTCCATTCTCTCTAATCTTAGAAAACCTTTCACCCCTCCAATGGCTTATTTTCTGTGTGCGAGAACTGATGGACGTGTCTGAGCTGTTTGGTCATCTTTTTTTAATAACAAAGGAGAGAAGAGGATTTTTTTCCTTTTTCCTTCATCTATTTGACTGTCCTTGACTTTTTGTTTTAGTACCATGAGATATGCTCATTGGGGGTTGGGACTGTAGGAGGAAATGTGTATGTAAATACATGCATCCCAAAAAGTCTGGAGGAATAGGTACCAAAAAATACTAATACTAGTTATTTCTGATTGATGGGAGCAGGGCTGGGATAGATGTGTTATTCATGCCTGCCCAGAATCTTTATTTCCTTTTGGCAAGACACGCCTCTTCACCCCTTGACTCTGGTGTGGCTGCCCATGACAGTACATTTACCCAATACAGTACTTCATTTCCCTGGCAATAGTTTGTCTGGGGCCAAGGGGTAGGCATGTTACTCTAGCAGAATTCATCAGAGTCCTTCCCTGAGACTGATATATGAAAACTGGGTCGAGCTTTCCTGCTGGGTTGCATTGGAAAGCTGAGACTACCTCACACCACATTTCCTGCCAGGCAGAGCTCACTCTGCAGAGGAAGGGAAACCAACGTGCAGAGAAGTTGAGACAAGGAGAGATACAAGAAAGCAAATGCTGGGGCGCCTGGGTGGCTCAGCCAGTTAAGCGTCCGACTTTGGCTCAGGTCATGATCACACGGTCTGTGAGTTTGAGCCCCGCGTCGGGCTCTATGCTGACAGCTCAGAGCCTGGAGCCCATTTCAGATTCTGTGTCTCCCTCTCTCTCTGACCCTCCCCCATTCATGCTCTGTCTCTCTCTGTCTCAAAAATAAATAAACGTTAAAAAAGATAATAATAATAAAAAAAAAAAAGAAAGCAAATGCTATGAGCCCTGTGTCTCCAGTTCCAGTCTCCAAGACCCTGATCCATGTTGTTTTTCCCTCAATCTTGCAGTCAGCTATTGTGAGCCACAGGTCCCTCTTTGGTGAAGCTGGCTTAGGTTAGGATTCTGCTACTTAGCAAGTGAAAGAATCTGATCAGTGACAAGGATGGTCTTTGTGTGTTTTTAGTATCTTATGTAATTATTTGCCTAGTAGAAATATTTTTTTAAAAAGACAGAGAATGTATTTGTTCAAAAAGGAAAGCGTAGGTGCCCTCAGACATGCTCAAAAGCAGGCAACGTGTAAAACAGAGCATAAAAGGTGTACAAGTCCTCGAAAGGACAGAGGCCACCTTATCACCTCAGAAATGTTGTCAATGAGATAAACAGGAATTTGTAGTGAAATAATTCTAGATCAATGGGTGTATTCGTGGTCTAGGGGAGAGTAGGGCCTCAGCCCTGGGTAGGAGATATGTTTTCCCATGAACTAGGAAGTCTGAGATACTGAGATTCAGGACAGGGAAACTGACCTGTGTCCCCTGCCCCTGGACAATCAGGTCCCTTCTCTGAGCCTCAGTTTACACTAAGTCTAGCTCTCATATCTGAACCCCTATGGTATTCCAAGCATTTCACATTTATTATCTCATAGAATTCTCAGTTGGTCACATATTCCCATATTCCAAATGGAAAAATTGAGGCTCAGAGAGGTGAAATGTGACTCAGATAAGTCAGTCCCTTTTTTTCTTTAATGTTTATTTATTTTGAGAGAGAAAGAGAGAGAGAGAGAGAGAGAGAGAGAGAGAGAGAGAGAGAGAGAGGCAGAGGGGCATAGAGAGAGAGGGAGAGAAAGAATCCCAACTGATTGGGGACTGATTGATCCCATGAACCTTGAGATCATGATCTGAGCAGAAATCAAGAGTCAGACACTTAATGGACTGAGACACCCAGGCACCCCCAGATAAATCAGTCTTTAAAGCCTTTCTAGGAACCTCAGCCATCATCCTCTCTCATCTGTAAAATGGGCAAAAATGGGCATAATACATCAACCACCCCTGATCTAGTCCCAGGGAAAAGAGAAGTAAAAGCCAGCTGAAATTGAGTTGGGGTCAGAATCATCCTCTCCCCAAGTCCTGCTGGAAAACGCACAAGTTTGGGGCGGTGGGAGGTGAGGAAGAGTGGGAGTCGAAGCATGTGCCTCCTCTGACTGGCCCCAGTCCAGCCCCACCCACACTTCCTTTGAGTTGCTCCTTCGCTCACCCTGCACCAAATTTCTTCCCAAGGAAAGCCTTGCGCAAGAGGACCTGGGTCAGGTCCCTTGGACCCCTGCCGACGTCCCAGGAGCAGTTTGTGCTCCACCCCCCCCCCCCCCCCCCAAACCTGGCGCCTAGCCATCAACCCCAGGAACCCAGCCTGTCACGTGGCGCTTTGGTCTCTGGCTTGCTTCCTCTGGGATCCTGATTTAACTCCCTCTCCTCCCTTCCCCCTCCCAGTCCCAAGCCCTCAGGGCACCACACCTATTTTGAGGGGCAGGTGCAGGGGACTGGAACTTCAGCTCAGCCTCCCCAAGGAAGGGACTTACGGGTCTGTTTTTCTGCCTGTCAGCTGGGGACCCCACCCTACGACTGTCTCTATTCTCTTCACTGTTTACTCTTGCTTTCCCCTTTCTCTACGCCCTCCATCACCACCCCCCCACCCCCCACCCCCCAACCCGCGTCAGTCTCCTGAGCCCTTTTGAGGGCCTGATTCCCTTCTGGGCACTGGGGGAAAGGGGACGGTGAGAAGAAAGGGGAGACAGAACCCAAGATTCCCAAGGGAGCTTCCAGGACTAGTCTGAAACTCCACAAGGCGACAGGGTGGAACTGGCCAGACTCTGGCATCACACAGACCTGGATTCGAATTTAATTTTGCCTCTGACCAACTGCTGATTTTGAACCCTTCATCTCTCTGGACCTCAGTTGTCCCCTCTGTGAAATGGGGGCCCTACGGAGAGGAAGGGAGGGAAAAGTCCAGAAGAGGAGCTGACCTGAACTAGGGGCTTCCCCTCCAACCGCCGCGCCCCTTCCCCAGCCCGGGAGCGCAGCTGTGCCTCCCGGTCCCTCGTCCCTCCGCCGCAGGCTCCTCCTCCACTGACATCAGAGCCGCAGGCGGGCGGAGGCAGCCAGCAGAGCCCGAGCCGAGCCTCAGCGAGGGAGCGAGCGGGCGGGCGGGCCAGGCGCGGAGCGGCGGCAGACAGCAGCCGGCAGCCAGAGCTCAGCGGCAGCCACTTCGGGCCTTCCAGCCAGCCCCGCGGCGGGGCAGCCGCAGGTACAGCCCGGGGGCCAACCCACCTGTGCTCCTGGGATCCGCGGAGGGGCGGCTGGACCCACCAGCCGCTGGATCCTCTCCCCCAGGGATGGGATAGGTGCCTAAGGGGGCTAGACCCTGGATGGGCAGGGCAGGGCAGGGCCATTCTCTCCTACCTCTGCCCCCAGGCCCCGCAGGTGCCAGGCGGCCGGTGGGGAACTGAGTGGGTAATGTCGGAAGGTGGGAAGGGTGTGCGTGTGGGTGCGCCTGCGTTCAGATGGGTCTGAATGTGGAAGGACTGGGCATTGGAGCTATAAATATGTGGGGCCGTGTTGGGGTGTGCTAATGTCTTAGCACAGGCCTGTGCATCAGATACGGAGCTACAGTGTAAGGGTATCCTTATGGGTGGGGATATCTGGGAATCTGTTTTTGTTGCAGATGTGTGTCCAGGTGTTGTGCATGCTAGCATCTGGCTCAAGGGTGGTAAGAGTGGAGGCTATATGTGTATTGAGGATGTTTGAAGTTAGGTATGTAAGGAGTTGGGGTTCAGTTTGGAACATAGGAGCTTTTAGGGTGTATAGAAACAGGATGAAGGGTATGAATGTATCTGGGATGTCTGGTACATAGGTGAGGAATATGTGTGTGTGTGAGAGAGAGAGAGAGAGATGTGGTCTGAGTGTGTGCAGATGTGTGTTTTTGGGGTGTAAGAGGGATCTGTGGGAGGGATGTTGGGATGTGAGGATGTCAGGGGGAGTGTATCTTTGGACATGTGTGCTGATGCCTGGGTACACATGTATGATCAGGTGTTGGGGTATCTGGGGATGGAATGTACTGAATCTGGGGCAGGTATTGTGGGTGGAGCTTGGTGTGGTGTGTCCAGGTGCAGAGATATGTGTGGAACTAGAAGGGTTGTATTTGCCAGGCCTCCAAGTGGGCTTTAAAACTGTGTTTCTAGAGCCTACCATCATATCTCCTTTCCTAGAAGTTTCTTGCCCCTGGGATGGGTGGCTAGGACCCCCTGGAAACAAGGTCCTATCCAAGGAGTGGGGTCTCACACCAGGGACTCTAGTCAGGGCACCTTCCTTTCATTCTCCCACAGGGGAAACAGGAAGTGCCCTCCTTGAGGTCACAGAGCATACTGGGTCTGAATGGGCTCCAGTCTGGCTGCATATTGGAAGGACAAGCTGAGAGTGGCCCTGTCAAAGTCCTTGGCACTCAGCAAGCTTAACTGGGCCCCAGCCAGTCATCATTTGGGCAACTTTGGACCCAGTCCATATCTGTCTCCAACCTGAGTCTCCCTATTCTCCATCTGATAAATGGGGAGAGAACTCCCTGCTGACAGAGGTCTCTGAAGAAAGGTACAGGCTGGAGCAGGGTCAGAAGAAGCCAGGAGGGGACAGACTGGGTAGGACCATTTCTCAGACTTCTGGGACCCAAACAGGGAGCCAGAAGGGAGAGGGGGTATAATAGGTGGCCTGGGGAGCTCCAGCTGTGGCTGCTGTTGCCGTGGTAACAGTGCAGAAGGAGCTATTTAAAAACGTGGCTGAGATATTGCTGGAAGCCCAGACTGCCGGAAACCTGATTTCCGAGAGACTGGGTGGAAGAAGAAAGAGGAAGGAGAGGAGACACCCCAGCAATTCCCAGGGTGGGGCTGGGACATTCCTGGTTCTGGAGACAGGGGGAACCCTCCAGGGCTGTGCACTTACTTGTACAAGCTGCTCTGGGGTCTTCTCTGCTGTTCTCCTGGAGGTCAGCATCCTCCTGAGTGTTTTGATTTGGAGCTGAATAAATGAACAAATGACTTTGTTGAAAAAAGAATTCTGCTGCCACCTTGAAGGATTTTCCTTTAGGCATGAGGATTTGTTGGGTGAACAAAAGACTAGTGAGTGAGTGAGTTTGCTGAATAACTTTGTCAAATGAATGAATCAAGGAATGAATACATGCAGGCTGAATGACTGAATGGGGCCTCAATTCCCTAAGTCCCAACATAGAAGGCTGGGCCCTACTGAGTCTTTTCCCTTCATTTCCCTTCTCAGGAGCCCTGGCTGTGGCCAGGGGGCAGTGGGCCATGCCGGGGGCAGTGGACGGCCCCAGCTGGAAGCAGGTGGAGGACATTAGGGACATTTACGACTTCCGTGATGTTCTGGGAACGTGAGTCTCAGGGCAGGCAAGCGGGGGTGGAGGGGGAGGCTGTCTGTGAGCCGGGGTGTGGGGTTGGGAAGGTCCTTACTCTTGGGCCTGGCTGGCTAGGGCGACTGCATCCAGGGTGGTACTTCCTCTGGTCAGTTTATCACTGCTTCCTGTTTGCTATAGTCCAGGCCCTGCAGCGGCCTTGCCATGGCCCAGCCTGGCTCATCTTTTCACTTCTGGCTGACAGTGGGTGGAACAGAGGCTGCTCTTGGCTGCAGCTCTGGGTTCCTGTGAAGAGAACAAAGTAGGGGAGAATGAAGGAGCCAGTCTTTCCAATGTTTGGCCAAGAGCTGGGGATTTTGGCCTAGGTTTAGGAAACGAAGCTGGGCATGGCTCTGTTCTCAGTGGTGGGAATCCAGAAATAACTCAAACCTGATCTTTTCCCCTCAAGTTGATCCTCAACATGTGATGGAAGTACACCCAGGGAAAATGACAACAGGGTATATGATGTGTTCCTGTTAAAGTCAGGAATGAGGACTTTGTAGAGCTCAGAGTGGTAGCTACTGCCTAGAGCTAGGGACTGAAGGATGAGTAGAAGTGCACTTATCAGAGAGGGAGAAGGGCATTCCAGCCAGAAGGAAGAGCCTAAGCAAAGGCTGAGAAGCATGTTATGTGTGGAAAGAGGTGAAGAATGATAGAGTTGTAATCAGAGGCTAGGGGAAGAGTGGAAGATGCTTCTCTCTGAGAAGAGAGAACAGGTCATGTAAGACCTTGAAAGCCAAGCTATGGGGGCTGGACTTTATCTCATGGACCATAGGAAGACATTTAAGATATTTTGATGGGTTTGCAATTCAGGATAGTCACTCTGGCCAAAGCATGGAGGGTAAATTGGAGAGGGACATGACTAGAAACCAGCATTGAGGCTATCACAGTCACTAGTTATTCTGATGATTGAGATTTTGCCATGAGAGATGCTTTTCTTTGACTTAGACTTCTTATCCCAGGCAACACAAATAGTCCTAGAAAGAAGATGCTAGGAAATCCTCCTTCATCAGTGAACTTTAGTACATGAGTTTGTTCTTTTCTAACTAACTTGTAAAATATTGCTTCTCAACAATCAGTGAGCATACAGACCATCTGAGGATCTTGTTAAAAATACAGATTCTGATTTAGTAAGTCTGAGGTTAAGGCCCGAGATTCTGCACTTCTTTTTTTTTTTTTTAATTTTTTTTTCAATGTTTATTTATTTTTGGGACAGAGAGAGACAGAGCATGAATGGGGGAGGGGCAGAGAGAGAGGGAGACACAGAATTGGAAACAGGCTCCAGGCTCTGAGCCATCAGCCCAGAGCCTGACGCGGGGCTCGAACTCCCGGACCGCGAGATCGTGACCTGGCTGAAGTCGGACGCTTAACCGACTGCGCCACCCAGGCGCCCCTCTGCACTTCTAAAAAGTCCCCAGGTGATGCTGATGGTTCTTCAAATTTATAAAAGTTGTTAAGTAAACCATGACTGAAATTGTAGCAGAAAAAGAAATGAATCAATTTTGCATGGATCAAAATGCCCAGGGCATAAACTTCAGGCATGGCTGGATCCAGGGGCTCACATGATGTTATCAGGAAATTATCTTTGTCACCGGGAAATTTCTTAGCTCTGATTTCATTTGTGTTGCCTTCATTCTCAAGCAGGCCCTCCTCAAGTGGTGGCAAAGATAACCACCAAAAGCTCCAGGGTTGCATCTTATCAGCTTGGAAGGAAAAAGAGCACCTTATTCTCAAAGTGCCAGTAACCTGGCTTGCATCACGTGACCCAATTAATGTAGCCAAGGATAGACTATTTTGATTGGCCAGCCGTGGGTCATGTGACCACCTCAGGGACCAGGGGTTGGAAGAGTGATGTAGGGAGGCTCATCTCATCTTCATGGTCCACAGGTGGTCATGATACCCATAGGGGTATGAAGGAAGGGCTGAAGGGAAGCTAAGGTTCCAGTTCCTCACCTCATGAATCCCCTTTCTTTGCAGGGGGGCCTTCTCAGAGGTAATCCTGGCAGAAGATAAAAGAACTCACAAGCTGGTGGCCATCAAATGCATCGCCAAGAAGGCTCTGGAGGGCAAGGAGGGCAGCATGGAGAACGAGATCGCTGTCCTGCACAAGTGCGTGGACCACACTGTCTCTGTGTGGGTTGACCCTGCCTTGACTCCTCCTATTCTCTTCCTACCTCTGCTTTGGGCAAATCATTTAACCTGTGAGCCTCAAATTGCTCATTTATAAAATGGGGTAATAATCTCCACTTGGTAGGATTGTGGAGCACTTTAGAGGTCCCTTTATTTCAGGTGTCTGCTGCAACAGCTAATGCCACTGCTTGTTTATAGTGGCTTAACTTGTTCATTCAGATCTAAAAGTCAATCCTTGAATGTAGCTTGGACCATCACATCTCAACTGGTGTTACTGAAGACCTACCTCAATTCCCCGTACATATTAAAGCCACTCAGGAAGTTCAAAAATACCTGTCTCACAGCCCCCTGACTAAATCAATAACCAACTGTCTATGATTTGCTTATACTTGTGTGTAACCTGCTGCCCTCACTGGAAAGCTTATGGAGAACCTTCACTTCTATCCTCTTGCCTGAGTTTTCCAACCACCCTGGTCAGGGATTAACTGGTCATTTCCACTATTGGGTGTGGGAGGGGGCCTGAGGTCCAGAGAGGGTAAGGGATTTGCCCAAGGTCACAAAGCAACTTTGTGGCAGAGCCATGGCCCCTGTCAAGCTCAGTCACCATCATCGGTTCATTTATTGAGCATTCACTGTGTGCCAGACATTGTGCCAAGATTCTTACCTGCATTTTCTCACGTGATCCTCACTCCAACTCTTTGAGGGAAGTACTGTCACTGGCTTCATATTATAGATAAGGAAACAGGCTTAATATTCAATGAATAAGTGAGCACTTACTCTACACCCGGTGTGGGAGGAACAATGGTAACATAAAGCCCCTGGTCTCCTGGAGCTGGCATTCTGGTGGGGGAGGCTGATAAACTTATAAACACAGACACTTTTTATTTTATTTTTTAATTAATTAATTAATTTATTATTATTATTATTTTTTTTAAGGTAGGCTCCATGCCCAGTGTGGAGCCCAATGTGGGGCTTAAACTCAAAACCCTGAGACCAAGGCCTGAGCTGAGATCAAGAGTCAGATGCTTGGGGTGCCTAGGTGGCTCAGTCAGTTAAGCTTCTGACTTTTTTTTAAACGTTTATTTATTTTTGAGAGACAGAGTATGAGCAGGGGAGGGGCAGAGAGAGAGGGAGATACAGAACCTGAAGCAGGCTCCAGGCTCTGAGCCGAAGTTGAACACTTGACCAACTGAGCCACTCCAAGCTTCTGACTCTTGATCTCAGCTCAGGTCATGATCTCATGGTTCACGAGTGTGAGTCTGTGCTGTCAGCACAGAGCCTGCGTGGAATTCTTTCTCTCCTCTCTCTCCCTCTCTTTCCACCCCCTCCCCCGCACGTGCACACACTCTCTCTCTCAAAATAAATAAAAACAAAGAATCACTTGCTTAACCGGCTGAACCACCCAGGCACCCAGAAACATGTTAAAATCATATATTGATCAGTGTTGTGAGGTAAAAAGATTTGTCCCCAAATAGCACATAGTGGAGGCAGGTTAGACCGAGGTGTGTCTGATGCCAGAGCCCAGTGTTTATCTCTCTGTGCTCTCCTACCTTCCATTACATCATAATAAATCATGGTGAATCAGCTTTTCCTTTTGGGACCCAGAACCCTGGTTTGTCCTGCCTAGGTCTACAGTGGTGGTTCTTCAAGGTGAGTGTAGGAAAGTGGCTGAGCTATCCTCAGCTCTGAACCACTTCATTTCTCCTTTCAGGATCAAGCACCCCAACATTGTAGCCCTGGATGACATCTATGAGAGTGGGGGCCACCTCTACCTCATCATGCAGCTGTGAGTGGCCTCACCCCTTGCTCACATCTCTCCCCGCCGCCCCTCCCTAGCTTCTCTGGCCAGACTGCCCTGTCCTCGGCTGCAGGGTGTCCGGTGGAGAACTGTTTGACCGCATTGTGGAGAAAGGCTTCTACACGGAGCGGGATGCCAGCCGCCTCATCTTCCAGGTGCTGGACGCCGTCAAGTACCTGCACGACCTGGGCATCGTACACCGAGATCTCAAGGTGGGGTGCAAGGGTGTGTGGTGAGCTGGGGTGCCGAGTGCAGCCTCCACATACCCCTCATTGTGTGATCTGGGGCAACTCTTACCCCATCCCTGAGCCTCGGCTTCCCATCTGCAAAATGCACCCTGTAAACCCTAAACTGCCTCCTCCCATTCCGGTTTGGACGCTCAAATGGACACCCTGGTGAATGGTGCTGCTATTTTATCCAAATAGTGCCTTGGTCTTTTTTTGATAATAAAAGTCCCACTTTGCTCTTTGTAGAAAACTTGGATGGGACAGCAAAACATAAAGAAGGAAGCCAGAAGCCCCTGTGAAACCCTACACCTCAGAGACTATGATGGGGTTCACATTTTGTAGTACATCTCCTCCAGTCTAGAAGAGCGCTGGGGTGAGACAGATCTGGACTTGAATTCTGTCCCTGCTACTCCCTAACTGTAGGTTCTCAGGCAAGTCCCTTTGCCTCTCAAGGCATCAGTTTTCTGACCTGTAAAGTGGGATTAGGCAGACTGGCCTGATAGGGATGTGGTAAGGATGAAATCAAGCACTGGCACAAGATCTGGCACAAAGTAGGTGCTTGAAAATTCTTTAGGGCCTCACAATACAAATCTGGCTTATGGAAAACTCCCACTCACATTCCCAAGTCCCTTGTCTTTTCTGGCCCTTGTCTTTTACTTTTAACTTCCTTGAGAACTTCCTTGAGTTTCTTGTGCCTCCAACCAAGATGGCAGCTGTGAAGCCATAGTGGCTTTTGGGGTGATGTCTTTGAGGTGGTGCTTGGAGAAGTAGAAGGTTCTGCCAGCCTCTGGCCATCTCTACCTCTTCCTTCCCCTCCACCTTCCAAGCCAGAGAATCTGCTGTACTACAGCCTGGATGAAGACTCCAAGATCATGATTTCTGACTTTGGCCTCTCCAAGATGGAGGACCCTGGCAGTGTGCTCTCCACAGCTTGCGGGACCCCAGGATATGTGGGTATGGAGCACCCTGGGTGGGGGCCATGGATAGGGGAGAAATCAGAAGCTGCAGGGCAGAGATCTGTCACCACCATGTCTCCTTCCTTCCATAGCTCCTGAGGTCCTGGCCCAGAAGCCCTACAGCAAGGCAGTGGATTGCTGGTCCATTGGGGTCATTGCCTACATTCTGTGAGTAGGGTCTTGGCCATTGGGGCATGTGGCTCTAGCATTCTCCTCTCCCCTACTTTGCCCTCTTTCTCCTCTCTCCTATTTCTTCCTGCCATCCAAGTGTATACCTACCTATTAATGACTAATATTATTTCATTCAACACATACTATGTTTCTGGCACTGTGCTAAGTACTGGGGATTTAAGAGAAGGAAACAAAGTGCCTGCCCTGAGAGAGCAAAAATTCTAGTACAGTAGACAGACAATAAACAAGTAAATCTATAAAATGTCAGGTAGTAAAATACTATGAAGAAAAATCAAGCAGGGTTAGGGAGATGGGGATGGATGCCATTTTAGGTAAGGAGGTCAGGAAAAAAGGCATTTCTTAGGCTATCTCCTGGATGAAGTGAGGGAGACAGACATTTGAGGTGTGGGGGAAGACATTCGAGGTGTGGGGGCAGAGGGAACAGCAAATGCAAGGCCCTGAGGAAGGAAAGAAGGTAGCAAATTAAGAAACAGGCCAGTGTAGCTGGACAGGAGTGAACAAGGCACAGAGGGGCAGATTTCCCCTTTGTAAAAGGGGGAACTGCTTCCTGTGGGTGTTGCCTGACTCTTGACACTACCTCAAAGCTCCATATTGGAGCCAATGGATACACTGAAAGTGGAAATGAGGAGGAGTTTCTCCCTGCCCAGGCTCTGCGGTTATCCCCCCTTCTATGACGAGAATGATGCCAAACTCTTTGAACAGATTTTGAAGGCCGAGTACGAATTTGACTCTCCTTACTGGGACGACATCTCTGACTCTGGTATTTGATGCTTTGCCATCTTCCCCTGGGCCCTACCTCTGGTCAGACTCCCCAGCCCCAAACTAAGAGCTGTCTTTGAGACCAGACACCAAGCACCCCAGGTGCTTCCCTCTGCCTGGCCCCAGGCTGAGAAACTTGTAGGCATTCGTTCAGTCTTCAAAACTAGTATTTTTGAAAATACCACACCCAATGACTTCATTATGCCTGAAATACCACCATAGAAGTTTTCATATGTTCTTTTGTACCTCTTACTAGGAGGCAAAACTGTGAAGCCATTATTGGTCACTTACACATCAGTGTGAATATACTGAGCAGAATCTTTTTTAAGAACAAGTTTTTTTTAAGGGAAAGAGGAGAGAACTGGAAGGCTGGGGTGGGTGGGGTGAGCTTAGACACTAAGAGTACAGGTGGGGTCGGGCGGTACATACACAGATCTGGCCTCTTGTCTTGCTTGGATGCCAGGCCAGACCCAAGGGGGTGGGTTTTGTGTTGGGGGTATCCACAGGTACCATCATGCTATTTCTCTTTGCTGTTTTCTTGGGGATTCAGCCAAAGACTTCATCCGGCACTTGATGGAGAAGGATCCAGAAAAGAGGTTCACCTGTGAGCAGGCCTTGCAGCACCCGTGGTGAGAGCTCCAATAAGCTGCAGGCTGGGGTGGGGTCTGGGGCCCCCAAACCTGTCTTTGCCTTCATAGACAACCCTCCACACACCCCTATCCTAGGATTGCAGGAGATACGGCTCTAGATAAGAATATTCACCAATCGGTGAGCGAACAGATCAAGAAGAACTTTGCTAAGAGCAAGTGGAAGGTGAGCCCATGTCCCTGGTCCTGGGTCCCAGCCTCCCCAGACGTCCTCCCCACCTCTCTCCAGGCCTCAGCTCACACAGCATCTAGCACCATGTCACAGTAACTGCTCAGGGACACTTACAAGAACTTCATTCATTCATTCATTCATTCAACACTCCCTGACACTCTATCCCAGTGAGTCCCTGACTGCCAAGAACAGTATAATTCTTTTTTACTGTTTGTTTATTTATTTATTTAGAGAGAGAGAGAGACTGCCAGTGGGAGAAGGGCAGAGAGAGGGAGGAGAGAGAATCCCAAGCAGCCTCCATGCTCAGTGTGGAGACTGATTCGGGGCAAGATCCCATGAGCCATGAGATCTTGACCTGAGCCGAAATCAAGAACTGGATGCTTAACCAACTGCACCACCCTGGAACACTATAATTCTTAAAGAGACATCTACTCCAACCTATGGGGTCCTGGAAGGGACATATGATGGCCTGATAGACCTGTCAGACCTGACAGCTGAGTAGGAATTAGCCAGGTACAACAGAACAATGTCTGAGGCAGAGAGGACCAGTATGCAGAAGTCCAGGGGCAAGAGAGTGAGTATGTCCATTCAGGGAAGTGCAAGTAGTAAGTCTGGATGGAATGGAGGGGCTGTGGGGCAAGAGCCCAGACTGGAGATGGAAGTAGAGGCCTTGAGTGCCACAGTGGAGAACTAACTTGGTCCTGAGGACACTGAGGAGACCCAGGATTTTTAGCAGTAACCTGCCCCTGGAAAGGGCTCTCAGGATGCAGAGAGAGGTATGGAGTTAAGGCTGGGAGACCCCTTAGAAGGCTATGGCAGAGATGTGGGCAGGAGACAGTGAGGGCTTGGACCAGAGAACAGTGGATGGCTCAGGAGTCCTTTAGGAGGTAGAATTGATAAGAAGTGATGGTAGAAGAGATGTTGGCAGAGAGAGGAGATGTCAAAGGCTGGCCCAAGATTTTGGTTGGGGAAAAGGTGAATGGTGGTACTGTTACTGAGATGGGGATCCCAGGGGCACACAACTGTCTTGGGGTGGATGACTATGGTTTTGGACATGGTGAATATGAAGGATGTGTGGGACACCTTCGTAGATATGTTAAATAGAGAATGATACACATACTGGGGTAAGTTATTTAACCTGTCTGTGCCTCAGTTTTCTCCTCTGGCAATGGTGACACTAATAGTATCCACCTCAAAGACCTTTGTGAAGATTAAATGAATTGCCAAATAAAGTGCTTAGAACAGTGCCTGACACATACTGCTATTTTAAGTGCTTGCTATGATGTGAATATGAATTTATACATAAAGGGTTGTATATACTTGTTCATGTATACATATTACACACACACACACACACACACACACATATGCATGTATCTGTGTAAATATATAATGTGGCTGAATGTAATTTAATAAAGACCTTGTAGAGGTTTCAGGGAGTTTTAGGGGATCAACCAATAACACCTGAATGAAAATGACAAAACCACCCCATGAATCTCACTGCCAGACCCTGTCCCATGATCTCCAGCTCTCAAAAGTCCCTTCTACCCCTTCTCCCCACAGCAAGCCTTCAATGCCACGGCCGTGGTGCGGCATATGAGAAAGCTACAGCTGGGCACCAGCCAGGAGGGGCAGGGACCAACGGCGAGCCATGGGGAGCTGCTGACACCAGCATCTGGGGGTGAGGACCAGTGCTCTGTGGAAGGGCATGGGTGGGAAGAGACATACAGGCTGGAGTGGAGGGTCTGCTCCTACGACCAATCTTGTTCTCTCTCCCCATGTAGGGCCAGCGTCTGGCTGCTGCTGTCGAGATGGCTGTGTGGAGCCGGGCTCAGAAATGGCCCCTACTCTGCCCCCCCAGCTCTAGGGCCCCAGATCCAGGGTCCAGATCCTTTGTGTGGGAGGGGTTGGGGCAGCCTGCTCCCCTTCCCTCCCTGAATTGGAATTACCCAGCCTCACTGCCTTCCCACCCCTTTCCCTATCACTCCTCCACTGCATTTTCCACACAAATGTTTCTATTTTATTGTTCTTTCTTGTAATAAAGGGAAGAGATAAAAACATAGTAGCTCTGTCTCACCAGATAACCTCCACCCCACAATGTTGTGCAAACTACTTAATGTGAGGGTACCTGGCCCCTGAGGTAGCTGCAAGAAGCCCTCTTCCCAACACGAGACTGGATGGAGAAGAGAGGTGGGGAAAGGTATTTGGGGTATCCCTTTGTCCAGTGCCCCCCACCTAGCCTTCAAGGCCTGTAGATCTCCTGCGCTTTGCTGGTGGCTCCTGAGCTCGGTGGAGTTGGCGCAGGTCAGCACTGAACAGCACCTGGGGACAGTGGGGAAGGACACTGCATGGGGTCAGGGTACACAGGGTCAGGACTGATGGGGCCAGTGGCAGTGTGGAGAGGTATACAGGCAGCAGGGCCAGGGCGAAGAACATCCACTAGAGTCAGGACTGGGGTGGGTAAAGAGTCCAGTAGGGTCACCTGAAATGGTGGTGGTGGAAGGGTCTACTGGGTCAGGACGGGGGGAGGAGTCTTATGGGGTCTGGGCTGGAGGAGGAGAGGGAGCCTCAGAACACTTACTGCTTGGGCCCAGCCAGCATAAGGTCCCCACAGGCTCCGGAAAAAGTTTCCTATGCCAGAAGTGAAAAGGTGAAATTAATTGGCCTTCCTACTTATTCCCTATCCACAGGAGTGGGATTTTACAGAGAGGTATGAAAAGTTTCTACCACCTCAGCCCGCTGCTAGCCCCAGCATCCCACTCTCTCCTTACCCAGTTCCTTGTTAGCCTGGGGGCTTGGACCCTTGGCCTGGGACATGGTGGGGTGCCAGCTGTAGTCACGCTGGGCAATCTGCCACATGTGGATATCCACGGGCACAGCCTGGGGCTTGTCTAGGGCCATCAAGCAGATGCAGTCAGCTACCTTTAAGAGACAAAGAGTGAGCCACAGAGGAGGAAAGGCAGGATCCAACCAGCATCCTATTTCTAGTCCCAAAGTTGGCTGCTTCCTCCTCCACTCTGAGGTTACTATTATTTTATATTTTTAATCAATACACACTCTCTTTTAATAATTTTAAAAATAGCTATGATGAGGGGTGCCTGGATGGCTCAGTTGGTTGAGAGTCCTACTTGTCTCAGGTCATGATCTCACGGTTCAGGAGTCTGAAACCCATATTGGGCTCTGTGCTGACAGTTCGGAACCTGGAGCCTGCTTCGGATTCTGTGTCTCCCTTTCTCTCTGCCCCTTCCCAGCTGATGCTCCGTCTGTCTGTCTGTCTCTCTCTCTCAAAAATAAGTAAACATTAAAAAAATTTTTTTAAAATAGGTATGATGCGACTGCCACTGTGTAAACATCTATGTAGGCCAGGTCCTCATCATAACCTGGGAAGAAGGCAGTTACTACATCTATTCTGCAGACAAAAAAGTGAGATTCCGAAAGATGAAGTGACTTGGCCAAGGTTACATGGCTAGGAAGAGGCATAACCAAGATTTAATGTTAGGTTGAGGTTCTTTAAAAATACTTAAAAAAAAAAAAAAGTTTTTTAAACAAAACTCTAGGGGCGCCTGGGTGGCGCAGTCGGTTAAGCGTCCGACTTCAGCCAGGTCACGATCTCGCGGTCCGTGAGTTCAAGCCCCGCGTTGGGCTCTGGGCTGATGGCTCAGAGCCTGGAGCCTGTTTCCGATTCTGTGTCTCCCTCTCTCTCTGCCCCTCCCCCGTTAATGCTCTGTCTCTCTCTGTCCCAAAAATAAATAAACGTTGAAAAAAAAAATTTTAAACAAAACTCTATTTTTTAAACTATAGAGAAGTATAAAGAAGAAAACAATAAATGCCAAATTCCCAATCATCTTACTGCTAGCTAACCTTGTTGATATTAAACAAAAAGATTTAGAAGTACGTAAAATTTCAAGATAAAAACAACATGAAAAGGAGAAACATCTTCTGATTTGTCTTCCCAAATGTAACCACTCTTAAGCTTCCAATGATTCCTTCTGGAAAATTCTGCATACATAGAGCAGTGTGTATGTGCATTGGAACAAATGGCCTTTCTAAAAAATGCACTCAAGGGACAATGTCATTTTTTTTAAAAGTCTATTTATTTATTTATTTTAAAAAGTAATCTCTATACCCAGTGTGGGGCTTGAATTCATGACCCTCAGATCAAGAGTTGCATGCTCTTCTGACTGAGCCAGCCAGGTGCCCTGGGACAATATCCTTTATACTCTTTCTGCACTTTGCATTTTCTCTAATAAAACATCTGCTTGTATCCTTTCTCCTTTTTGCCCTGCCTCCAGAAGCCAAGCATGTACCCAGCTCTCAGGCCTGCCTTGTCTCCTTCTCTGCTACTCTCTGCGTGGATGGTGACGGTAGCTCCTGTCCCCCTGGGACATTACCTTGGTGCCCACTCCAGGCAAGGTGCAGAGGGCCTTGTGGGCCTCCTCGTAGGGGGCCTTGTGCAGCTGCTGCAGCCAGGGCAACCCGCCCTGTTCTTCTAGGATGGCTCGGGCACTGGCATTCACGTAGCGGGCACGATACCCCAGGCCCAGCTTCCTGAGCTGAGCTTCTACCTCTGGCCCTGTGGGTGAATGGGGAAGAAAGCAGGGGTCAGGGATCCTCAAATCTTTCCTGTCTTCAGGCTAGTGTGTGAGGCCTCTACCCCCTACAGGAATGCTTTCCCTAAGCACCTCTCTCCCACCTCATCACCCTCTGTGAGACCCCAGGACACTTGCATATTCAAAAGAAAGGGTTAAAGCCTGAGTTTGCTCCTCTGCAAATATTTTCTGAGCACCTACTACCCAGCGTTGGAGCAGGGACTAAGAAGGACTTGCTGCCCTGGAGGAACTCCCCAGTTATCCTTTCCAAAGTGCATTTACACCCATGATCTAAAATAATGGTCATAATAACAATAACAGCTTCTATTATCAAGTGCTGGGTATTATGCATGGGCAAAGTACTTTAGGTACATTATCATGCTTTTCTTAAGGAACCGGACAACAGTATGGCTATTTTCCCAATTTTACAGATGGAGAAAATAAGAACTTAGAAGAGGTTAATAACTTGTTCAAAAAAGGACATGGTGGAGATGGGATCTTGTACCCAGGTCTGGGAAACCAACGCCTGTGCTCTTAGCCTATTAGAGCACCCTGCCTCACGACTGCTTTACTCACCACTCAAACCCTTCTGGATAGAAACTGTTATTCCCATCCTACAAACAAGAGAAGCTTCAATAGGTAAATGAATTCTTTTGGTCTTATGACTACTAAGCTGGGAGCTGAGACCCAAGACTGGGTTTCTTTTTTTCCCCCCAATACTGGGTTTCTAAGCACCAAAACATTCTCTTTTCTCTAGGTATCCTGTCTCCTTGCTATGCAGTCCCTAAGCACTTCTTCTAGCTTTATTCTCACATCTACCAACTGATATACTTGCTTCTGTAAAATACTTCCCTCACAAGGCTGGTATAAAGAACATATATGTTCTTGGATGCAAAATTGTTGGGTTCACTGTAGAGTTAGCAACTTTAATTTTCTGCATACTTCCTGTATGTCAAATACTGCACTATGTGCAGTATGCGTATTTCTTTACTTAACCCTTGTGGCAACTCTGATAGGTAAGTGCCATTATTCTCCCATTCCACAGATGAAGAAACTGAAACACAGAGTGATTAAATAATGTGCTCCAGGTCATATAGGTAGATGTCAAATGCCAAAAGAATTCAGATGTAGGTATTCTCCAGAAGAGTGGTCTTAACCCCATACTACTGTATACTATGTGTTTTTTAAATTTTTTATGAAGCAGTGAACCTATGGGGTAAAAAGCACAGGCTAGTGAGGTGCTGACGTTTCAAGGACAGACAAGGAGGATGAAGCAGGGCTGATCAGACCAGGCAAGATGGTTCTGGATGAGGAGGGCGTTTGGGAAGGCAGGAAGCTTTGAGATGGGAGATGGGGACCAGGGGAGAACCGAACAGACCCTGAAAGCTTTTGGAGGGTCTGAGCGCAGGGACCCACCTACTCACCAGCCAGGGCCTGCAGGCTGGGGAAGCCATGGTAGGTGACATCATCCAGCTGGATGAGCTGAGGTCCAAAAGCCTGGCAGAGGCGTTCCACCATGCTGGTTATGCGAGCAATGTTGTTGTTGGAGGAACAGATGAAGGAGAAAAGGCACTCGACAGGGTCCTGTTGCAGAAGTCGAACACCTGGAGACCAGAAAGGTAGGAGGTAGGATACAGACCTGGTGTCAGGAGTGGCCTCTTCCCACCCTCAGATCCTAGGCACTGAAGATCTAGGAGGATCTAGGGGAATGAGGGAAAGCGTTGATAGAGAAAACAACACCAGAGCTCTCATTCCTCATAGGTCGGGGTTATCTTTACATTCCAGGGATAAAGAAGCCACAATGTAAACACAACGAGCGTGGGGATTTGTGTCCATGGGGATTTGTGTCCGTTTTGTTCACATAGCAGATGCTCTGCAAATATTTACAGAATGAATGAGGTCACCTGTCCCAGGTCACACAGCCAGGATTTGATCCTGTCACCACACTATGGTAATCAGCAAAACAATAATAGTAATAATAATTACTATGTGTCAGGCACTATTCTAAGCAAAACTTTACACGTATTAGCTCCTTCAATCCTCATAAAATCTTATGAGGTGGATTATAATCCCCATTTTACAGATGGTGAAACTGCATAATTTAACCAAATTACAAGAACTCCAACCCCTGTCCCAATCCTTGTACTCACCTTGGAATTTGTGAGCCACCTCTTGAAAGTGGGGGTCCACGGAACTCCAGTGGTGATATAGTTGAGCCAGGCTGACATCCAGCTGGAAGTACTGGTGCACAGTCTTTAGCTCGTCTGGTGTGGGCCTGCCAACCCAACCCTTGTCCCCTCGGTACACAGTACAGTAGATCTGCTCCTCAGTCTGGGTCAGTGTCCATACTTGGTTCCCCAGCACGCCAGTCCAGTGCGCAGGGTTTTGCTCCCTCCACCTGAGCCCCCAGGCACACAGCAACTCTGGTACTCAGTTTTCCTTCTTGCACCCTTTAGGGCCCTCCCATCCTACAACAGCTCCATACACAACACTGACTTAGGAAATGCAAAGTCGTTTGATTCTCACAACATGGCACTGGCCTTTTTTTGGTTTCTTTTGTTAAAGTTTATTTATTTTGAGAGCGAGTATGTGTGTGTGTGTGTGTGTGTGTGTGTGTGTGCGCGCGCGCGCGCGCGCGCGCGCTTGCACTTACGCGGGCAAGGGGCAGAGAGAGGGGGGGAAAGAGAATCCCAAGCAGGCTCCACGCTGTCAGCGCAGGGCCCAGGCACCCGCATTGCACTGGCTTTTTACCTCCACCTTAGAAAGGAGGTAAACAGGCTCACCACCCGCGTCTGCTTCCTCTTCTGCACCCTGAGGTGCACCCTGCACCCTGCACCTCTTCCATCACCCCCAAAATTCCTTTACATTCCAGAACTGCAGTGTTGAGGGGCCAAGAATCAGGGTCACTCACCGGAAGGACTGTCCGGAAGCCAGAACCAGGTCCAGGCGCAGTTCCGAGCGTGGACAGGGGATGGAGGCCCACAGGGCCGGGAAAGAGGCTAGAGTACGATGTCTCATGCTCCAGAGCAAAAAGGACCCAGCTAACAATTCCACGCCAGGCTCCGCCCCATAATGGCCCCGCCCACTCAGTACCAGCTCCACTCATCGCCAAAAGACCGTGACCACACAGCACTCTTTAAGGCCTTGCCCACTAAGCCCTAGCCTCTAAAGGTTTATTGAAGGCCCGCCCAATTTCATTTAATTCCTCCACTCCCTGCAGGCCCCGCCCCTTACAGTCCACCAGGGCACCAACCCTCCTGACCTTTCCCGTTATGAATGCTCTCCCGGCCACGCCTCCCGGCGCGCACCACTGCGCTCAGAGCTGCCGCGACTTCGGCAAGCGCGCGCAAACGCACTCTTCCGGCTTCTCCAGGGAGCAAACTTCGCTCTCACCGGAAGTAGGATGCAAGCCTGGTTTATTGGTTCCGGAGGTAGCCAATCTGCGCAGAAGAGGCACCAATGAGAATAGGGTGTGACGGCGGATGGGCGGGTCTCTCCGAGGGGCCGCAGCGGTTGGCGCGCGCTGGGCTCGCTGCCCGCTCTCGGCCTTGCCTTTGGGGTTGTCTGCACTGGGCACGCAAGGGTGTCCGATCCCCGCGCCCCGCCGACCGGTCGCAGAATGCGCCCTCAGACCCCAATCCGCACTGCCAGATCTCCTCGGAACCCTGGGGTTCCTCATGGCTTGCTCGTCCGCAGAGCCAAATCCTGTCCCCCACCACCCCCAGAGAGCCTTTCTCCACCGAACCTCTCCAGTCAGATATTCGCCCTCCTGACTGAGAATTGGACCCGAACACCGCTCGGGCCCCTCCGAGCGGCCGAGACGTCTCCACAGCGTCCGCCACTTGAGGATTGAGTCTTCGCGCTCGCCCGCTAAGCCGCTCCCCTCCAAGGCCTCGCCGAGCCTCGACTCCAGTCAGGTCTCTTCAGAGTTCACTCCGTCAGAGACCTTCGTCCTCCTACTGCCGCGCCCCGCGCTACCCAGCCGCTCCACCCAGCTGCTCCCTTCAGTCGCAGGGCATTCCTTAAACAGTGCTCCATCATCTCCCACCCTGTGCCCACTGGGGCTTGTGGGCCCGAGGCAGCCCGTCTGCCTCTTCCAGTTTCCAGGGCGGGCTGCCTGGGCCCAAGAAAGATGTGTTATGTAATTTCTTCCCTTCTGGAGGAAGACAGTAAGCAAGGACCTAGGAGACATGAACTTTATCTGGGCCACTTTTCACCTCATAGCGCTGTGATCTGAGGTTACTGTGTTTCAGTGAGTAGACCGCAAATTCCTTAAGGGCAAGATTTGTGACCCACCCGCAGTACCTAGTAGGGAGGAGCATCACGTGCATGGCTATCATCAGACAAATGCTATTTTTGTCTGTTCCACTCCAGAGCTGCAAGGCCCTGGGCAACTACCTCCTGTGGCTGTCTCCTCTCTAGGTGTGCCAGCCCACAGGTGTCCCATACTTGGAAAGCATTCCTGCAGTAACTGAATGAATCATCGGTAAAGGAGATGCCAAGGTTGGGAATGAATGCAGAGCAATCCTCTACATACCTGCTACGTCCCCAGTTAAACGGGAAGGTCACAGCTATGGGGACTCCGAAGTACTTGGGACTAACCTACTGGCAAAGGACTTGAAGCCTCCGAAATTCATGAAGGAGACGTAGACTTCTTCTAGCAGTTAGTTCTGAATACTGGTTAAAGAGCCAGCTTTGTAGACAGAGACTGGAGTTCAAATCCTAGCTCTGCGCCTTCCTAGTTGTGGGAACTTAGGCAAGTTACTTAATTTTTCTAAACCTCAGTATCTTTGTGGAGATAACCACCTTATTAACTTTCCCTATAGTTTTTGCAAGGATTACATAAAATTGTGTATCTAGAAGTGCTTAGAAAAAGGCTTGCCACCCAGTGAGTGAGTGCCTGGGAAATGGGAGCTATCATATTATCCTGGCTGTTGTCTTACAAATGCAGCATGCACAGCAACCAGCAACCTCTTGAGCCCAATTATTTACCATCCCTGAGGGACAACCTCCCTTTTTATCTTTTTGCCCTGGCAGAAGGCAAGAACCCAAGAATTCCAAACAGACTATTTATTTTCTAAGAATCAATATATTTTCTTCCTTTGAAATAAATACAAACCAGTTTGAAAGGTGGGGGCATCTATGGGAAAAAGGGAAGTGGGGACAGGCCCCAGTCTTTTTTAGTACCAAATGACTCTGGCGCGACCCGGAAACGCAGTTACAAATGAGAATAATTTAAATTCTCCGCTAATTACAGTATTTACAACAGCAGGGGAGGGGGGTCACCTAGTGCCCCTCTTCCGGGCTGGACAGACATCAATCCCACTGCTAGGCTGGGCAGATGCCCGTTCACCTCACCACCTGCAAGGGCCTCAGGCCACTAGGCAGTTAGATTCTCCTGGCATGAGCAGAGCAGACAGAGGTGGTGGGATGGCCTGTTTTATGCAGTGTCCTAACCTTGGCCCACCACCCTGCACTACAATGCTGAGGTCTCTGGGGCTCTCTGGCCAGTGAGACCTCCCCTCTCCATGTGCAGAGCCGCCGTGGGCCCTTGGAGTGTTCTGTACAGTCCAGCTGCACTCAGGGCGGGAGGGACCTCCCCCACCCAGCTTCCCCTGAGACTGGCCCCAAGACCAGGAATGAGTCAGTGCAGAGGCCGGTGCCACTCCAGGACAGTGAGCAAAGGGGGAGGAGAGAGGTGGCAGGGCACTGTAGGTTGGGCTGTGCTGGGCATTATCAGTCACTATCACTGGTCTCGCTGCTCTGCTCGCCCTGCACCTTGCTGCGGTGCTGCAGAGCCCGGTGGTAAGCAATCTGCACTGATTTGCGGATGTTGGATTTGCGGCCCTCCAGCATCTTTTCCTTGTCGAGGTCCTGGTTCACGCCCAGAGGAACCAGCTTAGTCCTTGGCAGCCACTGCCTGTAGGACGAGGTGAGGATCACATAAGTCATCTCTGGGAAAGCAACAAGCATCAGCCTTCATCACTCCTTCACTCATTCAAAAACACCTCCTGAGTGCCCACTCTGGGCCCGGTTCTGGTGGGTAATGGGGTTACAGAGTCTAAGAGAAACAGTCCCTGCCCTCAAGGAACTGCTCATAGTCTAGTGATGAAAAGCACCCACTCAACAGTCACATTACGGGGTAACCACAGGGTATTTACGAGTGCAAAAAGGGGCCATGACCTAACCTGAAATAGGTACCCTGTCCCATAGGCTTCAGGCAGACTTTACTGACATTAAATATCCTTTGCACACAATACACAAAAAACACTGCATTACATACATGTGACAGAACAGAGATTTAAGATCCTGAATGTTTATGTCTATTTTATCCTCATCTTGTCACCATGGAGGCAGAGACAGGAAAACTAAGTCTAGAAGCCACCTGATTCTGGGTGGGGAAGCACATTTGTCACAGTCACTGATGCCCCTCTAGCTTCTAGCTACAGCTGTTTGTCAGCTGTTGCCCACTCAGTCTCTCAGACTCATGGTCAACACAACCCTCACAACCCTTCTGCTCAAAGATCTAAGTCCCTCCCCCACTGATCTGTGATATCCCAGTCTGTCTGTTGCTGGAGTTTCCTGGCAGCCTGCCCACATACCCAGGGTTGCATCTGTGGCTGTATGAGTCACAGCAACTGCTCCCCTCCTCCCTTACCAGGTTCGCTTGTTGTCAAAGAAGAGGACGAGGTAGAGATGCTCTCGGGCTTCCTGGGTCATCTGTTCCCCAAGTTTCAGCACCTCCAGGGGGGGCACAGGGATAGGAACCCCATGATGGAACATACCTTCCCGGGGCATCTTTGGATCAATTATCTGAGGGTGTAATAAGACCTTTGTTTGGTTCAGTTCCCTTCTTCCCCGAAACTTACTCTATACAAGAACTGGGAAACCACCTCTGAAGTTGGGACACAGAAAGATTATCATGCCACAAGGCTGCATTGCTGACCCTTGGCTTCTCATGATCAACTATTCCAGATTCCAAGATGCAAAGGGAAAGAAAAGGGAGAGATGGAAAAACTAACCAGGAACTTGTTAAGTATCTATCTGCCAAAGACCCTTGTTCTCTACAGCTCAGCAGAGAGTAAGTAAAGTCTGCTAATTGTGTCTACGATCTGGGGTTGGGAGGCAAGGGGTATGATAAGAAAAGGGGAAGCCTACCAGAGCTGGGTATGATGGATACCCTCGGCATTTGGCCCACACCAGGTCCAGAGCATCCAGTGGGGAGTCCTCATCCTCTGACAGCCAGCCAGCTCCCCGTCCCAGACTCTTCCTTACCACTTCACAGGAATGGGAGAGAGGGAGCAGATCAGCAGCCAGGGGGCTGGCAAGGCCCTGATACCGGGCCCCCGGCTTCCCTGGCTTTGGGTGAGGGTACTTACTGCTGTGGCCCACGCCGCGGCCAGTGCCCACGGAGTAGGCCTCGTTCTCAGTGCCTGAGGTATCTTCACTGCTGTCTTCCGGGAATGTGCCCCGAGAGAAGGAGGGCTTGCCCCGGCCCTGTTTTGAGGGTGTTGTGCTGTGGACAAGACAAGAACTCAGCTTAAAGGAGGGTAGAGTGGGTAATGACACAGTAGTTGTCCTCTCTTTAAACCCCCAGGTCTAAGAATTTTGGAAAACTGAGTCTACTTGAAAAATTTCAAACTCAAAAGCCCTCGGGGGCTTGGCAATAGTGTGACTGACATGGGCTGGATTTAACAGTGGTGGTGATGAGTGCATCCCCTGGCTAGATTTGCCAGATCGGATTTTTAAAGACAATACAGACACTAGGAATTTTATGTGGCAGTACTGGATTCCTTTTTTTTTTTTAAACACCATGCTGGCCAAACAAAATATGTCTGCAGGCCAAATCCAGGCCACAAGGCATCAGTTTACGCTCTCTGCTCTACAACATCAGCTTAACCCAGGATGGTTCCCACTATTCCATTATGGTGATGTTCTTAGGTATGCCATTTATTTCGCAGAGAACCTTGGGTCTGAGCCATCTTAATCTAGACTGAAGTGGCTGCCATGCTATTTCCCAGAGGGAAATTTCAAAGGGCATCCTGGAGGCAGACCTTGATCTGGAGGGCTGGTACCTGGTTCGGTCTGAGGCAGCGCTGCTGCTGCTACTGCTGCTAGACTCAGAGTCGGAGCTGCTCCGGGGAAGGCTGCAGTCATTACGATATACCAAGAAACTCTTCTTCACTGGCTGATTTCCACCGCTGAAGCCATTAGCTGGTAAGTCTTGGTTGGGGGGAGGGGGAGGAGGGAAGGAATCGGTCAGGAAGATGTAGATGAGAGATGGCATGGGGGTAAGAGGGACTAGGAGCTCGGCTCTCCCTTCTGTGCTGGAAAATTCCTCCAACTTTGGCCAGCAGAGCCAGTTCTGGGCAGTGTCTGCCACAGTTGGCCATAGTCCTGCCCCACCCGTCACACTGCCCTTGGCAGTTACTGGCCTTAAGACACAAATGGCTTAAAGGGCAGGAAATCCCCAAGGAGGGTGAAAAGAGAAAAGGTGAAGTGATATAATGGAGAGGGTCCTGGATGGGAATCTAGCTGGGTCAGTGTTTCTGGACTTCAGTTTCCCCATCTGTAAAATGAGGGGACTGAATTAAAGGATCCCTAAGGGCCCTTCTAACTCTGATATATTATGGGCAAATGAAGGGACAGGTGGGAGTTATGTTGGGAATGATGGCAACTTTGCTCACTCTCTCGGGGGGCTGGGTGATGGTGAGGCTCACCCATTGGGGGGTC